TTGCTAAAGCACTGATAATTTCAGAATGAAGTGTTCTTTGATGGCTCATTGATTGTTTTCCCTTTAGTATTTCTATTTCAGAAAAACAAACAAAAGTGCCAAGAGGAGCTGAGTCCTCTGAAGATTTAAGTTTACATTTGTGATGAAATTCTGTACCCTTTCATGCCAATTTGCAAGTCTGCCACGATCGCACTTTTTGCACATGCAGCATGTCAAAGTGCAGTGCATTCTGTAAGAGCAACACAGGAATGCAGTGCAGTCTGTGGAGCTGCAGATGTCTCGGTGCCTAATTTGATTACACTGAAGTTGAAAAGCAGATGAGAGATTTGAGAAATCTTTCCCTCAAAACTTAGGCTCTGTGAAATATCATTTCCCACTAGCTTTCTGCATAACATTTTCTTATTTGAATGTTTCTCTATGACTCTCAGAGGATGGACCCCAAAAGCATTTGGTGGAACGCATACAGCCTGCAGTGCTTTCCTACAGGGCTGTAGCTATCTTCACTGTCCTGTATTTAAACCAGCTACATTATAACTGTACATGGCATGTATGATACTCAGTCATGCACCCTGCATAGCTGGAAATTTCAAATTCAAGTTCATAAGAAACCACCTTTTTCATCCCATGAGTTTCAAAATAAGGAGCTCTCATGTCAGAACAATAGAACTTCTAGAAATTGCTGCTGAAAGTGTATGTGGCTGCCTTCTGCACCAGGATACTCAAGCACAACTTTAAAGCTCCATGTTGGCTACAAATGTAGTGTTGGAGCATCTATACCAAAGAACATCTCCACTGCTCATTGCAAATGACAGCTATCTGTATGGGTACCTGCTCACCTGTTTGCTCCTAAGGACCAATCTTCTCTCCCCTTACTGCAAACAATTTGATTTAGGCCTTATTGTTGCTGAAACATGATGGAAATCCAGCATCCTTTCAGCTCTCCACAGCAAACTTGAGTGGCACACCACAGGGGAGCAACACCAGAAGAGCACTGAATTCAGAACAGCAAAGGGCACAGTTGGTTGCTCACAGGTGGACACAAACTAATCCCTCTCTCTGTGGAGAATCATAGAATCACAGAATATCCTGAGTTGAAAGGGACCCACAAGAATCATCAAGTCCAAGTCCTGGCTCCACACAGAACCACCCAAAATCAAACCCCACATCTGAGAGAGTTGTCCAAATGCTTAACTACAGCAGACTTGGTGCCATGACCACTGCCCCGAGGAGCCATGCACCTTCTCACTGAAGAACCTTTTCCATATTAATAATATCCATATTAAACCTCCCTGCTCCCTTGGGGTTCCACAAAGAGGAGATGATACCAAGTGCAATTACAAAGCTCTTGTGATAAAATTCAGTCAATGCAGCTTGACCTTTGCATTTTTTAAGCTCATTCAACATTAGCTAGTAGGAAGTGAGGTAATGGACATTGGGAGTGAGATGTATACATCTCACATGTAGAAATGCACAGGGAAACTTAGACTTCATTGTATAGGTATTGGAGAAAGCTGCTTTTCATACGTTTATGCTGCTTTTCATAGAAACATAGAATATCCTGTGTTGGAAAGGACCTATAATGATCACTGAGTCCAACTTATGGCTCCATGCAGGACTACCCAACAATCAGACTTTATATCTGAGATCTTTGTCCTGAAGTTTCTTGAACTCCAGCAAACCTGGTGCCAGCACCACTTCCCTGAGTGTTGTGGTTTAACTTGGCAGGTGGCTAAGCACCACACAGTCATTTGCTTATTCCCTGCTCATCCCAGTGGAGTAGGAGAGCGAGTCAGAATAAATAAATAAATAAATAAATAAATAAATAAACAAACAAACAAACAAACAAACAAACAAATAAATAAATAAGAACTTGTGGGTTGAAATAAAACTATTTACTAAGATAGAGAACAGGAAAATTATAATAATGATGACATATATATGTGTGTGTGCATGTGACAAGTGATGTACAAGCAATTGCTCAACACCCCCTAATCGAGGCTGAGCTAACCCTCTGAGCAATGGAAAAGCAGAGATGAACTCCCCTTCAGAACTCTTTCTGCATGATGTCGTATGGAATGGAATATCTCTGTGGGCAGTGTAAGTCACCTGTCCTAATTCTGTTCCCTCCCAGTTCCTTGGGCCCTTCACTGAGACTGGCATTGGCTCTGCATTGCTACTCTTAGCAGCAGTCATAAACATCAGTGTGTTACTAACATAGTTTTCCTCTTAGAACCAAAATATAGCATCACTCCAGACACTCTGAAGAAAACAACTCCATCTCAGTTGAAACCTGAGGAAACCACTGAGGAGGTTGTTCCATTGCCCAGCTACCCTCTGGTGTAGAACCATTTCCTGATATCCAATCCCTGATGAAGCTCCATGCTGTTCCTTCAGGCTCTATCACTGGTCACCAGGCCATAAGGAGCTGCAGGCCACGAGGGGGCTGTAAGCCTTGAGGGAGCTATAGGCCACCATGAGGCCTCCCCTCAGTCTTCTCTTCTCTGGGCTGAACAAACCAGTGGAATTCAGATGCTCCTCACATATCTTCCTCCTTGAACCTTCCCCATCTTTCTAGCCCTCCTTTAGACACTCTCCAATAGTTTTATGTCCTTTTTGGACTGTGGTGCCCAAAACTGCACACGGTACTCAAGATGAAGCCACACCAGTACAGTGTAGAGGGGGTCAGTCACTTTACTCAGCCAGCTAGCAGTGCTGTTCTTGATGCATTCTGGGATGTGGTTTCATCACACCCTATAAGGATAACTGAAACCGCTCAGTTAGGACATGCTCTAGAAGTGCCTGTTCTCTCCACTGACTGCACTGGTGTACACTGGACAGCTGTATCTTGTGCTTCTTGTTTTCACCTGTGCCTTTCACAGCAAACAGCTGGGTTTCCATTGCAGAAGTACACAACCAGTGTAAGGGCTGCATCTAATATCATTAAATTTAATTTATTAGAGTGCTCTAATATATGCTTATGGAAAATAGCACTGGAAGGTTTATTACCAACAGTTATAATGGCTGATCTTCATTAATGTCTTTCATGTTAGGATGTTCCCTCCTTCCACAAACTAACTGCAGTTTTTAATAGATGTGACAGCATAAGTTTGTGCTATTGCATTTCCGTCTTTTCATCAAAAAGGTATAATCCACACAATTTTTAAATTTTGCTGAGGTTTCAGAGTACCTCTGACAGAACCTGAGATGATCACAGAAGAGAAAGGACGCTTAGCAACCCTGCCTACAGCAGGGGTTTGGAACTTGATGATCCTTGAGGTCCCTTCCAACCCAAGCAATTTTGTGATTCTATGAAAGGGCCTGGAAGATGAACATGATTAGGTCAACTTTTATACAGGGGATGCCTAGGTCATTCACTAGCTGTAGGATTTTTAGTTGTCTGAGTTCAACAAGCTCTACAAAAGTCTCCTATGAGCAGAGCTTTCCAGTCTGCTGGAAGTCTTTCTGCTTTACACTTTTGATACCTTAGTGTGCCTGCTTCCTGCTATGCTGAGCAGTCCACTGTTCTCTAGTCATGCTGCATGCCCTCTGTTCAGATTTCTCTCTTACATCTCTCGCACTTACTCTGGAAGTTACTTCATCATGTTCCTATCCTGTTTAATTGTTGTCAGATAAGGTCCGTCTTCTCTTCAGAAGACTTCACCCTATCTATACTGAAGCAGACGGCACAAAGCTTTGCCATGTCCTCACCTGTTTTACTGCTTGGTTTTAGTTTTTACATTAATCTTAAAGAACATTCCTGATGGGATTTGCAGCTTGCAAATGCTGTTCTCAGCTATGCTGTTAATATTTATAGGACATTCCAAGAGAAATCTTTGTGCCCTTGAATCCTTAATGAACAGACTGACAATGAATGTGTAGCCTCATACCCCTGAGTAAAATAAGACCTCTCAGGAATGCTGGCATGAGACAAGGAGAAATGCTGGAATACTAATTCTCTGGTGCAAAGCTCCTCATCCTGACACTTCTGCTAAGTTGTGGTTGAGCAGTGGACACTGGAGATGGTAAGGACATTTTCCATTTAAAAAGTTCCCTTTATTCTATTGAAAATTGGATGATGTGTCAACTTAAATGGAATATGATGAGAGTTTTCTTTGTTCCTGGTGTAGTTTATCTAGTCTGGGTAATTGTTTGTGGTTTATCTGGATAAGACATTCTTCAGGGATTTTAGATATTATTCCAGATGAGCAGTGCTAGAAAGGATAGATCAGAAAAGAAGTTGGAAAAGATTTCTTGGGAAAACCCAGTGATAAGCCCAACAAATGAAAAGGCTAATTAATCTGGTCGTATGAAGGGTATCTTGGCCCAGTTGTTGGTTTGACAATGGCAAATACAAGACATATTCTCAGATTAAGTGAGTTGACCTTAGTGTCTGTTTCTCTTGAGAAAATTCTTGTATCTTGGGCTAGCTGTTAATGGGCTCAGATGATTATGTTATCTTCTAATCCTATTCATTTGTTTGATGACTGATTTATGCAAAGCCTGATACCATTGCTATTTAACTTTAGAGCAGGGAAAAGGTAAATGACTTCTATTTGGGAAGTTTCAACAGTAAATTTTAAAACCAGGAATGTCTGTACTTCCCTCTAATAGCATCAAAGGAGCTACCCATACAGTACAAGTAAGTCAGTCGTACAAAAAAAAGGGAAGATGGAATGCAAAATCATCTAGAAATTAGATACAATGAAGATATAGAACTTAGTTTTGAAGAGGAACAGCTCTTGAATACGCATCAAATTTCTATGGTTACTGAAATTCCTCTTCTCTCTCCAGCAAATGTCACAGTGAACTGTATCTGGGCAGGGGGTGCTGGTCGAGGAGGAGACATTCAGAATGCAATTTTCATCAGATGACAAAGCAGGCAAACAGCTCCAGTTACAGAGCAGGTGAGTGGACATGCTCTGATGACAGAAGAAGAGGAAGGAAAAGGCAAAAAGAATTGGAGAATGGAATGAAAGAAGGAATGGTGATAGTATGTTTCTCTACAGAAAGTTTACATGTGGGAGATAGGTTACTCTATGGAGATAGATTTGCACAGACTTTTCATAGCTAATATTTTTTGCTAGAAGTGGTTATATATCTAAAAACCTGTCCTGCTTTATTTATTAAAAAAAAAAAACAAGCCAGGCTTTTCAACATAAAAATGTCATAGTAATAAATTATAAAAGGCATTCACATCTGCAGAAACAAGATATAGCATTGATATCATGTGACATATTTTCTACTGGTTATTCCCATATTCATTATTTACATTGAAAGAGCAACATTCTTAAAACTTATTTTCAGTTTGGAGACTAGTCCATGGCAGAACACCTCTCATAGAGAACAGATTTTACTGGCATTCATGTAAAATTAGCCTCATTTAAATTAGTAATCAGCTAAATTTCAGCGACCGTTTCACTTAGTCACTGCTTTGCCAGGCAGCACAGGTGTATATCATCTCCATGCCAAATCAATGTTTTCAGCTTCCTGGCAAGCTTTCCAGCTGACCAGTATCATTTGTGAGTGGGAAGCCTCATTGGGCATCAGAGCAGAGCCATCTCATGACTGCATTACTGTTTGCCTCTCATATTTGCTAAGCCTGCATTTTACCCCTTAGTGCCTCATTTCCAAACCTTCCATGTACACTGAATTGTATTTCTTCAAGCAGCACTGTGCTGACCTCAGGGATCTGCTGGTATGAGAAGGTGGTGGCATCCACTCTGCTGGAGCTGCAAGAGCACTGTCATGAAACCCTAACAGGAAGGCTCAGGTACTCTGTGTTTTCCTCTGGAAGCTCCTATCAGGATATCACAGTGTGAACTGCTCAATGTGGCTTTAGTGACATTGAAGGGAAGTATTTACAGCCATTTTCTCTGCTGTAATTAGAACACATGCATTCAAACCATACAGAACAGCAGCTCTATATGAGCACATCATCTACACCTATTTTAAACTTTCCTCTGAGAGATCTTTCTTTAGACCACCAGGGACCAATGTTTTTCTCAGAACCTTTGCACTAATACTGATCAGGTGACAGACAATTTCACTCTAAAAATAGTGACTAAGTGCAAATCAACTCCTGACCTTCACACATAGCAGATAATCAGAAAACAGTATCATAAGTATCTTAGGGGAGGTACAGGAACAGACTTTTTAGCAGGGTCTGTGGTGATAGAAGAAGGGGAAATGGCTTCAAGCTCAAGGAGAGCAGATATAAGGACAAAATATTTTACAATGAGGGTGGTGAGGCACAGGAACAGATTACCTAGTGCTGTGGTTGATGCCTCATCCCTGGTGACTTTCAAGGCGAGACTGGACCAGCCATGAGCAACCTGACCTAGCTGTGGTGTCCGTGTTCATTGCGGGAGGGTTGGACTAGATGGCCCTCAGAGGTCACAGAATCACAGAATTGTAGGGGTTGGAAGGTCCCTTCCTGCTCTAAGGATTCTATAATTCTATGATTCAAATAGAATAATTTTCAAGTAAGGTAGATAACATATTTAAGGTATTTCTAAATTAAGGTAAATACTAATATGATTTTATTTTGTTAAAACTATAACATAAAGCTAGCGATTTTCACATTCACATAATTACCAGTCCAACTAAGTGAAATGTTAATTGTTTCCTTCTATAGAAACACTGTAGGTTTACAACAATAACATCCAAATACCAGTACAAACCAAATAAATTGTTAGGAGCATATTCAAAAATATCAAAATATCTCTTTTCCATAGCTGTAACACAGTGCCAGTGATTTGTTCCAGGCCTCACTTCCTTTCCTTTTCAGATTGACAGCTAAAAACTGTGCATTTCTCTGTCGTATCTTCCCAAAAGTGCTTTGTTCCTCTTCATTAAATTTCTTTCTTGATTTGGAGACAATTTCTCCATTTTAGAACAGCTTCTCATTATTCTGATCCCCTTTTGTCCTGCCATAGTGCTTAGATGTCCCTCTCCCACAAGCTCTTAAACCCTTCACAAAGTGTATAGGCCATCCTGGGTAAACACAATCGGTAATCGTGATAATTACTTTATGGCAAAAATGGAAGCACGTGTCCATGATACTGTGTGGTTCCATAGTGTGGAACAGAACAGAACTCCTCTGCTTCAAAACCCAACAGAAATGACAGGGCAGGATGCCAAAATGCTCTTGTAGATTTTATTCTAGACACGTCAGTCCCTGGAGGCACAGGTCCCTGTCAGTCTAATGCTAATAAAAGACTACTTACATCTCAGTAGAAGTGTCATAAAGGAAATATCACATTCTGGGCCAAAGGCACACAGACTCCTCCTTAGAGAGGGGTTCCACACAAACAAAGCCATGAAGCAGAGCTCACCTAAAGAAGGCAAGTATCCAAGCTTTTGGCATTCCAAAGTTCTCTCCACTTGTAGTTGTGGCTAACTCATCCTCATGGGGACACAACTAGAAAAAAAAAGACTTCATGCCTTTCAACAAGAGAAAGGAGGTAATGTTAAGAACAGTGCAGCAAGAAGGGGGGCTCTTCTACACCTGCAGTTATGGCAGCAGAGAAACTCACATGCTGGACCTTCTACCTTACAGCAGGGACAGCATCTCTAGAGAATGTTGTTACCCAGCTGCTGAATCAATTCAAGTCTGCGTAAACCATCATGGTGTAATTAACACAAACTGCATGCATGATCTATGGGCATGTCTTCATTAATACTTAGTGTTAAAAAGGAATTTAATCTTGTAGCAGATCGCTCAGTTCCAGATATTTGCTTCCCTGACAGCTGCACAGCATGGACACCGTTGTTGTGTTTCCACCTTAAACTACGATTAACATTCTGGAACCCCCACGTATCCCTGAAAACAAGCTAGCCTATGTGTCAGGTACAGCTTTCCGTGAGAGCTGG